TTTTTTTTTTTTTTTTTTTTTTTGTAATTTAAGTTCCTATTTTTGGTCGTTGAAACTGCACTTGAGTGAACAGAAAAATTGCCAAGCAAACTAATGGCTGTAAAAGCATAAATTGCATGTGTGGGCATCAATTACTGAGCCTCATTTTGATGAGGTGTTGTACAAAGAGTTTTAATACATTTTGTAAATAAAACTGTAAAGAAAAAAAAAATTAAAAAGCTTGCTTTTCTTCAGGGGAGAAAGAATCCATCCCTACTGCTCTCCATTTGGCCAGTCTGGGATTCTCCTCAGATGTTTACCACAGAATCCTGGAAAGATTTCTCTTTGAAGAATCACCCAGTTCCAGCAGCCCCACCAAGGTCAGGAGCACCTTTCTCTAGACCAGGTTGCTCAAAGCCTTTCTAGTCTGACCAGTTTAGGGGCCCCCACACTGAACTGAGGACGCTGCTGGGAAATGGGTATTTCTGGTTTGCTAACCTCCAAACCACCTAATTTTTTATTTTCTTGCTGACGGAAGTTGATCCTGCAAGGTGTGAGGTACAAGGAGTACCCTGTGAGGAGCAGGGAAGGAGCTGGGGAGAAGCCTCAGGGCTCCAGCCAGGGTGGGAGATGCTCTGCCCTGCCACTGCAGTGGGCAGCAGCATGGGTAAATAAGTTCCTTAAATGTTTACTAAGCAGATGTATTTTCCTGCAATTCTCAGCTTTTCAGCAATGCTTCTTTAAGGAAAAAAAACTTTTCAACCAACATTGCAGCTAATCTCAGCACCGATTTTTTGAGTTTACGTCACCCACAGTGTGGTTTTTCCAAATCACCACAAACTATGAACTGTGGGGAGTAATCCTGGTATTAAAGAGCTGGTGTGTACCCAAACCACACCCCAGCAGGGCCAGCCTCTCTGGGCCTACCCCTGGCCACATGAGCCTCGTGGTCCCCATCAGGAACCAGTTTCCTGGGCTTCTTCCAGGGACCACTGAGGGTGACACTACTGTTAGCACCCAGGGCCTCTGGGGCTGAGCTGGAGCAGCACCAGGCTTCTCTTGAATGACTGGAGATGAAAAGATCAGCTTCTGAAAAATAATAAAAAGCCACCAGTGGAGGTCTTGGGCAGCAGTGCCACTGCAGAGCAGGTGGGCATGGACCTGAGTGGTTTGGGCAAAACAGGAGATGCCTGGAGTGTCCCTGTGGCACTGCCTCTGGCTGTGGGGGAAATGGGAAAAATGTATTTGCAGTCACTGGTACTTTTCCCAGCTCAGCACCTGGTGCCTGGCAGTGAGTCCCAAACATGAAGCTGCTTGAGCCTAGCCTCAATCCCTGTTGAGCTGCCACTGGCACTCCTTGTACATGAGTGCAGGGGGAGAACACATGCTGAGCACACCCTGTGTCTTCAGCTGAGGCTTCAGCAACTGCAGATAAGCCCTGGGATAAGCAAGGACTAAATCAGAGCAATAAATAACAATTACTCAACTCTAAACCACCTTATGTGGATGAAGGTTTCAGGTTGTCCTGGGCGTAAGCAGGGTTCTGTGCTGAGCACACTGGGCTCCTTATGGGACCACCCTTCCCGCAGGGCACAGGGAGGCCTCACTGAATGAGCCTATTTATGTGTAAAGTGCCCACACAATGAACACAGGGAGGCATGGAAAAAATATTGTTCTGTCCTTCAGCTTTCATTTCATGCTCAACATCCAGGCCAACGTGGGTGGGCTGCATTTTTCTAGAGAGCTGTCTTGACCCACTCCCTGCTGCCTGACAGCCACACACAGCCACGGGGGTGAGTTATGCTCCCTTCTTCCAGACCTGCCAAAATGTGTCTGCAAGCAGGGCTCAGTGTGCCCACTGAGCCCCAGCAGAGGCCAGTGCCAGGCTGATGCCAACCCTGCCCTGAGTGAGCAGTCACTGCAGCGCTGCCCTACCAGGGGCTCGCCAGATCCTGCACAATGGGTGTTAAGTTTTTCTAATAAATATGTGTCAGGTGAAACAGAGCAGTTAGGGCTGTGGTGAAGTGGCACAGCTGCACTCAGTGAGCTGGGAGAGCCTGGCCAGCTGGGATGGGGTGGGGGATGGCCTCACATACCACGGGGATGAGAGCCAGGAGATGGTCCAGTCTGGAACCACCCTGGGCCACAAGGGCAGTGAACCAAAACCTGCACTTGCTACACAGACTCCAGCAATGGCAGCAGGGTTGCATGGCACCCCTGGAATGCTGAGCTCCAACACACCCCAGCATGACCTTGTCTCTAGACTTCTGCAGGTGGAGAATAAATAGGAAAAATTCAGAGTAATGCATCAAATTCCAAGAGCCATCAATGGCAGCAAATGGACCTCAACAGTGTTCAAGTCTGAGCCTAAAAATCCAAACCAATAGGAGCTCCTTCCCATGGCACACCACACCTAACAACAAAATAAAAGAAATACTGTGTCTTTGTGGCATAGATTTTCCTTCCAATGTTTTGTGGAAAGCACTGCAACATTTATTTTTTTTAAATAATTATTCTTTATGGTTATAAAAATATTAATATGTCATGGATATTAAAATTAAATTACGAAATGTCTTTGGTGCCCGTATTCATCATTTCAGTCTGGAAAATTTGCTCTTATTTTGCAGGCAGCAATACATAAACAAGATCTGAATAATGATAGCTCTATTCAATTAACCTAAAGGATTCAAATACAGAGATAATATTTGCATGGATATTATAAATTTCATAGTAGCATTTACTAAGAATATAATGTATCTGAAATTGGTATCAGGGAGGACAGAGTCCCCAGGAGCAGCAGCATGGTGCCTCTGTGGCACTG